AAAAATATTAATGCTCTATGATGATAACACAGAAATGCATTAGATCCGCATGCTTACTCTCATCAACCGACATTATTAAATTATGTATCGAATCGTCTAGTGATGTAATCTGTTTCGAACAGTGAAAACAGCAACTCTTCCTCTCTTATTTCTATCAAAAGTTATTCGCAATCAAAGACTTCAAACTATGTTATATATTCGATAGAACTTACAATCACTTTTTTGTCTTTCTACTTGATATTGACATTCAAGTTCAATATGATCAATAACAGAAAGAAGTGCATCAAGTGAAAGTATATGTGTTGATGTTAAACCAGCAACAGGAAATGCATTTTTTGATAACATTTTAGTTAATTCTTCAAATAAATTTGATAAATATAAATCACAATCATAATTTAAATATAATTCAGCTGATAAACCAGGTATACGAAGAAGTTGAACAATTGTTTCAAGTGCAATTTCTTTTTGTTCATAGGTTACTTTTGATTGTTCAGAAACAATTAATTCCATTAAACGTATTAAAAAAAACTATTAAAAATATATATAGATTAAAAGATAAAATATTAATATTAATAATAAATTTCATACTTCAAATTGATATTTAAGATGTGTTCTTAAACTTTCAAAAATAAGAAATGAAACTCGAAGTGAAGCAGAAAATAATTGTATACGATTACAATTTAACATCTTAAAAAAAAAACAAAATCAATTATTATTTATAATAAATATAAAATCTTTTTCTTTTATTCTTAACTTACACTTAATAAATTTCGACATAATGAATCTTTAACGATTGAGAGTAATAATGGAAAATTAGCAATATGATCTGCACCAACTTCTAATGCAACTGTTAAAAGATTAAGACCAACTGTCATCATATATTCAGTATTATTTCTATTTAACGGCAAAAGAAAAAATAAAAAATATCTTAAAGAATAAAACTAACTTATCATAATTATTGATAAGAGTAGTTAAAAATCGAAATAAACCACGAACACAAGGCCAACCATAAGGTGATAATGGTTCTGAAAATGAATTAAATAAATAATTATTTATTTTTTTTTGTCACAAATCCTTTCAGATTAGATCTCTTTTTAGGATCTATTTAAAAATAATCGACATACAAAAGTCGTTCAATAGAAAAATAAACACCTCGAGATGCGAAATGTTTCAATGCGACGGACAAAAAAAACTAATGATTAGACAAATATATCGTTATGTATATTTGTGTAAAATCAATATAAAAATCTTCGATTTGATTTAAATTCTTTTTAAAGGATGTTTATTTTGAAAATTCTTTTATTGTGAATAAATATAAGAATATTCTTTCAGATCACACCTAATTAAATTTGATTAATTAATTAAAATGTAATTAGCAAATAATTCTCACCTTAAGAGAGAGAGAAAATTTCAAAACCTTCAGGATAGATACTACGTGATGAAATATATCTATAGTTACATTTGAAAAGCAGTTTTCTCAGAGATCTGCTCATGTTCTAGAGCGACATGTTTTTGTTTTTGCTATCATCGAGAGATCCTACAAAAAAACATTTTGAATTACTCTTTGAAATTCTCGTTTAAACTACAAGATTTTTGTTTGCTATATTCATATACAATCATGTCACTAACAATCAGTATATTGAAAAAAATCAACATGTTCAGAAGAAAAAAAAACTTGCATCGAGATTTTGTAGTTTAAAGTTTTTCTTTTTTTACAGAGGTACAACAGTAGTAGATTTAGAAAGGAAGGAACTTCGGCCTATCTTTGGAAAATTTTCGATTTTCTCCCATCAAAATCCAGAAGAGTAAAATTATGTTAGTTCAAATAGTTTTCGACATAAGGATTTTTTCCACAAATATCATTCTTCTTTGGTAAACTGATTTTTCTTTTTCACTCATTGAAAACTATACTCACTATTGAGTCATAGATTTTTTCTTCCCACGACAATTATTTTTGAATAAAAATCTCAAGTTTATCTACCTTTAACTGGTCCACTAGTAGTTGGTGTTGTCGTTGATGTTGTAAATCTAATACCTCTTGGATTAATATATTCATTATTATTTGTTGATGTTTGTGTTTCTGTTTGTGATGATGAACTATCTATTTCTTGTGATTGTTGTTCATTTTCAACTGTTGTTGTTATTTCATTTGCATCAATAATTCTTGATGGTGATTCATCAAATGAAGGAACTATTATTGGTAAAATTGATTCTGAAGATGAATTATCTGTTGTTGTAGATTCCGTATCATTATTAATTGTTTCAATATCTGTAGGTGCTGATGGAGGAATTTCATGAGTAGCATTTTCAATTGCTGTTGGACGTTCATTATCATCAATTGGAGATGACTACAGTAAAAAGAAATTATTTTTTGAAAGGAAAATAAAAAAAATCATACATAAGTTAAATTTCTTTCTGATGAAGATGATGTTGATTCTAAAATACACGGGTAAAAAAAAATGAAATAAAAACTAGTTGATAACAAAAAAAAAAAAACTAATTTAACCATTTATTTGAGATTCATTAATCTGTTCTTTTTTTATTGATGATGAACTAACTCGTTGAGATCGACGTCGATTATTCGTTGTATCAGTTGTTCCTGTCGTTGTTATACCTCGTGTATGAAGCTAAAATAAAATTATATTACATAAGAAAGAAATAAAAACTTCAAATTGTCTTACTCGTTTTGTTAATGTTGAAGATGTTGTATCATCTTTAAATTGTGGTAATCGAGCAAATAATAATTGAACCATATCAATTAAAACATGTTCTGATGTTTTGCGTAATAATTCTAAGAAAAACAACAAATTATTTGTTCGAGAGAAAAAAAACATAACAACTAATACCTGATAATCTTGTTTCGAAACAAATACGAAAACATGATTGAAGAATTTCACATACACTATCATTTGTTATTTTTGCTCCAGCTGGACTCAATAATAAAGAACGAAGAACCTAAATTAACGAAACAAAAGATTATTTTCAATAAAAAAATTTTAATGAATTTACTTGTAAAATTCTCATTAAAACAACTTCATCATTATTTGGATTTGTTCCAACAAAACGTGTATGTGTTACAGCATTGGCAACTTTATCAATAGCTGATGATGCTGATTCACTTTGAGTATCTGTTAATTAGAAAAAATTTTCTTTTGAGGAAAAAAAAAAAGAAAATGTCAAACTAAATCTATACCAATAAGACCATAGGAGAGAAATTTATTAACAGCATTTAATGCCAAACATGTTATTGGACCAGATGTTTCATCAGAACGAATTATATCAAGAAATGGTGTTAAAAATGTATTTGAATCAATATCTTGAAGATCTAAATTAATTTATTTAATTAAAAACTGCTTTTGTTTTCTTTTTCTATTAATATGTTTTGTTTTTACCTGATACAGAATTAAGAATTGTTTTTAGTTTTTGAAACGAATTCATTTCAGGAGATTCCTAAGAAAAATTTATTTTTAAAAGAAAATATAAAGATTTATTGAATTACTTCATAGGAATGTGTTGTTGACCATCGAAGACTATTCTTTCTTGATGATGTCAATGCTTGAATTTCACCCAAAATAATATATATAGCATTTTTGGGTGCCTCAAATGACGACGACATCTTTGAAAAATGATGAGATAAATAAATAGAAAGGCTCTTTTTTTCCAAGAATCAATCCAAATATGAGAAGAAAATCGATCAAACAATTGATTTAATTTAGAGTAAAGGAGATCATCAATCTACATGCTAATCCATATTTTACCCTGAAAGATGATTCAATTCAAAACCAATGAAAGGATTTGTTTTTGGATGTCCTTAGTTACCATTGAAAGTTTATTATGATCCAGTAAAAAACTTCGTCCCTAGATTTTCCGTTTGTGCTAAATGAATGAATAAATTTAGTAGAAGATATGAGTTTAATTTAAATAATGCTAGAAGAAAAATATGATTGTTGTCATGAATATAGTCGAAAATCAATTCATTTTACTGCCACGTTGCAGTATTTTACATTTTGACACGTTGCATTTTTATAATTTACCTTGTATTCAGAAAGCTTATATATAATGACGAAGCACTATTTAATGGAAATTAAAACATCAGTGAAACTAGCAGCTTCTTACATATTTATTAGACTTGCTGACATTTTTAAATACAAAAAATAATGGTATTTTGTAGGATATTAAAATAACACTGACGTTGGTCGTTACCAAACTGTTCGACTAGAGTAGAAGAAAATTTTGTACGACAGTCAGTTAAATAAAAAGTTTTCGCGTTTATCATCAAAAACAAAATTCATTCTGATGGAATTCCACTAAACAAGAATCAACTTGCTTTTGTTTCGATGTCAAGTATTCTATCGAATGAATCATGCTTTTTTCTGACACACGTGTATAGGTAAATGACGTGTGAGATGTTTTTTTCTCCAATCTTATGTCTACCTCTGATACAATTGTGCGCATATCACATGACGGTGACAAAACTAAATACACATTGCATTAGACGTGTGGTGAAGCATTCGATATTTGTGTTGAATGTTTGTCGTTAAATAGAAAATATTTCTCACGTATTTATACTTCAAATGGCGTATCCTCATCATCTAGAAGATCTTCCCGATGAGATATTGATTGAAATATGTCGCTACTTAAGTTCTTTCGATATACTTTACTCGTTTGGTCGTCTGAATTCCCGTCTTCAACGTACAATTACCGAATTTTTTTTCCGATTAGATATTTCTGATTTGTCCTTGAATCAATTTCAATACTTGTGTTCGTCTTCTTGCTTGGCCTTCATTGGAGAACGTCTTACTAAGTTATCACTTAGCAATGCATGTGCAACTGGTCAAATTGAACTTTTTGGCAAGAATCTTGACAATGATAGTTTCAAAGGTACATTGCCTCATTTGAAATCGATTATACTCGATGAATTTGCTAATAACGATGTGAAAATTTTGCCTAAATTGCTTTATCTCGAAGAATTGACTATTCACTTTAGTTCTTACGAAAAAATGACTAGTACAACCGAATCGCTATTCAATTTATATATATTTTCTACGCCAAATAATTTTCGCAAAGTTAAACTTATTGTCGATGAAGGCCTTCAATTTAAAACACAAGTCAGTCCAAATACATGTTTGGAAGATCTTGAAATTGAAATCGCTACTCTGCAAGACTTGTCAATGCTTTTCGCACTTGCACCGTATCTAATTCGTCTAGAAGCATGTATTGTACGTAATACACCACAAGAGTTCATTCCTCAATTTCGAATGAACATTATACCTCAAGTACTGAAAGAATTTTATATACAAACAATAGGACACCAAGTAATTCCGTTTCAAAGCCTACTACGACCACTTCTTTGTAATATTCCATCAATTGAATATGTTTCCGTCAGCGTGAAAAGTGACGATCCTGATTATGCAGACGCGTGTCTTTGGGCAGATGTGGTCGCTGTCATGCCATCTCTGAAAACATTTCTTTTGGGTCTTGAAATAGAAATAACATTAGATCTGTTTAATCGTTACAGTGATAATGGAGATGCTGAACTCAAATCACTTGTTTTTAAATCTTTTGCAGAAAATTTCGACTTGTCTTCGTCCTTTCGTATATATACAAACAACGCAACATTGTTTATTGATAGTGTCCCTTATCAATACACTCGTGAACAAAGCTATAATACATCTCCAGAAGCTGTTCACGGCCTTTGTACTAATCCGACACATCTAGAACAGCCACCTCACAACATTGTAGGACTCACAATGAACGGCGAACATATTCCAATAACGAAAAACGATTATCTTGAAGTTATTCGTCATTTTTCTTCTATCACATGGCTTTCTCTTAGTTCGGTAAATGTTTATGATCAGGAGAACGAAACCACTGAAGTACTTCCAACCTCATTGAAACTCAAGAATCTCAAGTCATTATTTTATTTTCGTTCGACAGAATGCAAAGTGAACAGAATACTTTTTGATCAACTCTTCTATGGACATAAACGGCTTGAAATACTCAAAATGATGTACGGCGATTTAATCTATCTTCTACGTACAACATCACCTTCAATAGATGGCAATCATATTAAAAATTTAGAATTGTATTGTCATGGAGCGGATGGAACTGTTCATTTGAAGGATTTATATTATTTGACTTTGACATTTCCGCAACTCGAATGTCTAAGTATTCAAGTTTCATCGAGTAATTTGATTAAGAAAAATCAAATAGAAATAATTGAAGAGCTGATCAAGTCGTTTAGACGACTCCGTTCATTTCGGGTCAACTGCACGAAAGGTACTTTGAAATTAGCTCGATCACTTATGAAAAATGATCAAACCAAATTCGAATGGCTTTCTCGTATTAATGCTATCGGTTCACATTTAATACTTGAACCTAAAGCTATAGCAATTTGGAAGAGTGTTGATGTAAATATCAAAATCTAACTATTGCAACCATTCATTATTCTTAAACATGAATCTGTTCCTTTTGTGACGATCTTATGAATTAATTTACCTATGTAATTAGTAAAAGAAACTAAAAGTAAACTAAGATTAACGAAGCTGCTTTAGAGTGAAAGCTTTTCAGATTGTTGTATATCGTTGAATTTAGTCACAAGAGGTAAAAACAATCTAAGCCGAAATACTTTAGAAAATTGCTTTCAAACTTCGATACGTTCTTTTCAGAAACTTTTTGATGTCATTGTGTACAATATGCACGTTGCATGTATTAAACATTGCTCTGAATTGGACGTTACTTTTTCTATAAGGAACATTCTAAAAAGTTTATCGCCAACCCTTCAGATTAATATTCAGTGGCTAGTTTTAGTGTTTTGTTTGTCAATATATCGCTTGTATGCGACAAATTGTAGATCGTCAGTTAAATCGATTTTTATATCATATTTTGTAAGGCCAGTTATGATTTGTTATAACGTGTACTTAAATATAGCTTTGTATTGTTCGTGATCGAATATAATCTCATGTAGTTGATATTTAGGTTTTGAAAGTTAAAAAAAGTCTTATCAGATTAGATGTGATGAATACACTCGATTTCTACATGTTTTCATATGGTCTTCTGTGAGAAATTCGAAGATTTTCAAGGTTTTCATCGTGTTTCAATTTAATTAGCAAAAATGGAGACTTGAAAGATTGTCCTTTATTTTTCTGTTGACTCAGTTTAAAAATTTGTACTAGACAGCTTTTGACAATCAAGCATCTGTTTACTAGATTCTAATAACATGAACTTGATTAAACTAGATGTGCTGAAAAAATTTGTTTGTCAAACCTCTTGTTTCGGTGAGTATCAGCAGTTCGTGAACGATTTTCTAACGCTCGAATTTTTGACTTATTGATTAGATTTCTATGATTATGATAAAACTATGAGCTATCACTAATGGTGATGTAGAATAACAAATAGGCATTGATCTTTCCATTTCCATTCTGAAAATACACTTGTTGGGCACTAAACTTTGTCGAACTTTATATTCAGAAGACTACTCGAAATAATTATTAACGAAATGATTGTCAATATGTCTTCTATTCATTCGTAAGTTCAATGAGAATAACTTTGAAATGTTACTAGGAGAGTAGTAAATGTTATATCGGCTATAATAGCTGGAGAGAGATCCGAGTGCAGTACATATTTAGTGCTGAAGTTATTCTGCTGAAACCAATGAAACAAATTGATTAGTGCAGGCGCGACTATTCGTGTATGCTAAGCCAATTTGCTGGTCGCCTAAAACCATTGTTTCAAAATTTTGTTTTGAGCATTCGAAATCCATTTGAAAATTACTCAATCACTAATCTTCAAGAAATTTAAAAATGTAACGAACGTAGCAGCCTGTGAATCTAAAATTTTGCACATATTCATAAATATGTCTAATCATAACTATAGATTGCTATGTTTTTGAGATGTTCAAAAAATAAATACGATGTGTTTTGTAAAAATTGATCGAAATTTTGAGATGATTACAAAATGAGTTGTTAGCATGATTTGAAATACATCTGATTATTCATCTTATTATTATTGAAATAAATCCTTGAATCACTTATAAGGTTATAAAACTATATAAGTAATCGAAACTATCTGCTAGATCCGAACATATTTCAACATTGGATTTCGATCGAAGATAAACTTTCATAAGAGAAATGAGAGAGTGATTCGAAAAACTGAAACAGTACTATGAATCATGTTATCTATCTAATATAAAGAAATTTAGCTCTTTTATTAATTGATCCTTGTTATTTTATTTTGTTTCAAATCAGAACCTTCAAGCTTTTTTTCTAGTGCACAAAATATGCACGAAGCCATTCTAGAATATTGATTTGCATCTACTTATTAGAAAGCAGTGCAAATGTAATCAACTTTTTCCTTTTTCATTTTGTATCGAAATATTGCAACTCATATATAATACAAGAAAAAAAAAACACTCATTTATTCAGTAACAAGAAGAATTGACTTTCTGGTTAGTAAAAACTACTGATTTTAATGATGACAGACGGTCATGTATCAAGAATAAGACTAGATGCCAAAAAATTATCTCATTATGATCAATCGTTTGAAAAGCATGTGAGTTCTTTGGTAATTTTTTTTTTCTTTTCTCTCATTATTGTTTTGATTTAGTCTTCATCATCATTTGAACTGAATCCTCGAATTACTTCGGTTGTTCATATTTCTGTTAGACCAACTAGTACTGCCCGTCTGCCTTTAGATAAGAAAGACAAAAAGCGTATCAATCCTGTATGCAAATCTACCATTATTCTGTATTTATTTTTATTTTATATTTAAATAGAAATCAGCAACGCTAACAACTCATCAAAGTCGTAATAGATTCGAAAATTCAATTAAAAAAGAAAATTTATTCAAACGATCATTAAGTGCAACATCTTCTGTTAGTGTGACTAGAGTTCGTCGTCCATTATCACAGGTTAACTTGAATAAAGACTGACCATAAAGAGTGTCTCATTAATTCGAAGTTTCAATGAAAATTAGTTTATATACAAACAAAGAATGTTCTCTAAGGTGTAGGTATAGAAGATAACCATACCCACACCCTAGATACTACATATCGCTTTGTATATTTGTGCTACGTTACTTACCATGAATTCTTAGCCCATTAAAACTTCTATTGAGGCACAGAACTTATGCGATATCCTTCATTATTATTCAAATTTTTATTGAAATAATCTATCATCTGGAAATTAGAGATGTTACTGAGGTTTAGGATAAACAATAATCATAAGAAAAAACAATAAAAATAATGTTATTCAAACCCATTGTATTACTATGCATTCAAAAAATAAAAGAAATCGGATCACGCCTCATTCTATGATGATTTCAAACAATCAACAAGTAAATATTGATTTCATCAATCCCAAGTATATAGTTTTTTTAATGGCTTCTTCAATCAAAACTATAACTTGAGGTTGACACAGTCATTCAGTAGAATTAGCAGTCTCGCAAGCAGAGTATATGTGGAGGATTGTACTTTCCTTCTCAAGATTATCAAAAATTTTTAGTGTTTTCCTATGATAAGAGCAAATTTTGTCTATAATATACGTTCTTCATGCGAGATTTTCGTAACAAATACTGTATATATTTAATTCAATCTTTGGTCTGTCACGTGGCTATGATTGAGTAGAAATGAAATTAGTGAAAAATATAGTTATAAAATTCAATATTTTTTTGTAATAGTTTCGTCAAAAGTCATGGAAATCTACTGATGATTTAAATCAAAAATTTAATTATGTGAATAATTACGAAATAGATTCAAGTATCAAACAACATTGTTATACAACAGCCAAAGTAACAGATTATCAAATAACTAAAAAAAGAAATCCTTCATATTTTGAAATCTGCAAATTTTTGTCTAGAATACTATTACCAATAGAACAAATTCAACAAATTCTATTAAAAATAAAGAAGTAAAAAATAAAATTTAGGATTTTTCTCTTTATATTCAATATTCTTATGAATGTAGTTATTTGGAACGGTAGAAGATCTAACAAATCCTACACATCAATCTCATCAATCATCAAAAAATAAAAAGATAAAGTAAGTACAAACGACAGCATATTTATTGTATAGTTTTCAACATATAATATAGAAAATGGTTAGAATATTGTTGCCGATGTTCACGACGACGGGCATGTGCATCTGTATTTTGTCTTATTCTTCTTGGTATAATTATCACTATTATTCTTCTACTAAACAAATCAAAAACAACAGCTATTAAACCTTGTAAATGTTTTTTCCATTAGAAAAATCTGAAAAAAAGTTTTTGTTCTTTTTCTGAAATTCAACAAAGAATCATCATTGAAATTTTCTCATATTTTTGTCTGTAGCTCTTATAGCCATTCTTCGTTGGAATACTACTGGTATAACATTATTTGGTACTACAGGCATCAGAGGAAATACATCTGAACAATTTTCCAGTCCTTTTGGTTTAGCATTTGATTCATTCGAGAAACTCTATATCGGTGATAGATATAATAATCGAATTCAAAAATGTGATATCAGAGAATTAACTTGTACGACAATAGCTGGTCAAGCAAATGCAGTACGAGGAACTAATATGAGTTATTTGAATGGACCTACTTATGTTTATATTGATTCAAATGATAATTTATATATAGCAGATTCTGATAATTATCGTGTTCAATTTTGGAGTTATGGTGCATCTTATGGTACGACAATCGCTGGAATTACAGGTAGAAAAAAAAAGAAATTATTTTACCACTTCATAATTTTGATATTTTCTTTAACAACAAAATGTATTCAAAAATATAGAAAAGAATATTATTTATTTTCATTAAAATAATTTCTAACGTATTTGTTGTCATATTATTTTAGGTTCTTCAGGTTCTGCATTAAATCAATTTAGTATTCCATATGGCATTACATTAGATTCCAATTCAAATGCAGTATATATCGCAGATTATAATAATCATCGTGTTATGAAATACTTATCAAGCAGTTCATCAGGTACTATTGCTGCTGGTGGAAATGGTTTCGGAACAAATAATACGAAATTATATCGTCCTGCTGGTCTCTATTTCGATTCATCAACCAACAGTCTTATCATTGCTAATTTTGGTGCAAGTAATATTGTTCGTTGGGTTTTAGGTGATAATAAATGGACAATAGTTGAAGGTGATATTAATGGATTGAATGGTAATACATCAACATTGCTGGATCATCCTACAGGTTTCACATTTGATCCCATGGGTAATATTTATGTAGCTGATATGTTTAATCATCGGATACAAATGTATCCAGTTGGTCAAACAAATGGTACTACAATTGCTGGTATATCAGGCCAAGTTGGCAATAATTCAACTATGCTTAATTATCCTGTTTCGGTAATCCTTGATAATCAACTTAATTTATATGTTAGTGATTCATTTAATCATCGAATACAAAAATTTGTCCGCTATTAAATTTCATATTGTTGTTTCTTTTTCTTATGTTTAATAAAAGTTTTCTTTTTTTGATTTTTTTCAAAAATTATTTATTATTGAAATAAAAAAAAAGAAAAGGAATACTAATATTGATATGATGATCAAGCAAATTTGTTTTTTTTTTTGGTATTGTTTTTATCGATTAAGTATAAAATAAATGATAGTTGACTTTTTGACACTTAATCCGTCTCTCCTTACTTTTTTTTCTGGACTTTCATCATTTGATTCGACTAGTTATAAGTCAGCAGGATTAAAAAAAAAACGTAGCAGGTGTATAGAATCACATACCAACAGAAAAAAAAAAAGAAAGAAAAAAAGAAATTTCAATATTGCTATTGTGCGTATACCGATGAAAAGAGAAAAAGAATAAGAATGTTTGGGTCTATCGTAGTCGAACAGCCTTATGCATATATTATTCTACTTGGCATTACTTCATTAACAATTATATTATGTATAATTACTTGTATCTATATTTTTACTAATCGTAAACGTAAACAACAATCAAATGTTGCTCTGGCAAATAAACGTTTACTTTATTCATCACCAGCATCAATAACACCACAAATACCAACAAAAGCAACAGATCGGTTTGTTTTTCCATTGCCAAAATTACAAAATACAGAAGCATCACCAAAAATAATTCGTGAAACATTACCACAATTTTCTATTGATGAAATGCCATCAAATTATAAAACATTTGATTTAGGTAAACGATATCAAAGACATTTATCATCAGATTCATCATATACAAGTTCAACTAATCGTCGTTCATATCCTCCACCAACATTTTCATTTGATACAGTTAAATCAAAAATTCAACAAATTGATCGTCGTTTAACATCATCACCAATTTTAAATCGTCCACTCGAAGCAATTACTTCGGAACAAACTCCAACAGAATATTTATCCGATTCTGATGAACAAGATACTGAATCATTGGCAACAACAGCAACACCTTCATTTGAATATTCACTTTTAGATTTATTTCGTATTGATATTGTTTATAAATTACATTATTCAATTGATGATAGTCAACTATTATTTCAATTAATACGTTTAGTTTCTACACAACCATTAATTGAACGTTGTTTTCCATCATTACTTTGTAAAATTCGTTTATATACAAATAATGATAAACGTAAAAATAAAAAATATTTTTCAAAAAAAGATCCAATTGATGAAATATTTAAATTTGATATGGATCAATATACATTAGAACAAAGTTATTTAAAAATACATGTATTAGGACATCATAAAAATGATAAACGTTTAGAATTAGGTCATACTATTCTTGTACTTAATCAATATGATAATTTAATGATACGAGCTGGACATCATCATGATGGTGGATTAGCAGCAAGTGAACAGCATACAAAATCTATTCCAATAAATGAAGATCGAATTGATATGATAACTCAACAACAGGTCAATTAAATTTATTTTACTTATTATTTTTTTTCTTTATTCTAATGTTTTTTTTTTTGGTCTTGTTCTATTAAGGTACCATTTGAAAATGAAGCTCGTGCATTAATTTCTTTGGTTTATGAAAATGATCGATGTTTACTTCATGTTGGTGTAATAAAAATAATTGGTATTCAATGTTTACTTAAACAACCAATTGGTCATTCTCATCATCGTGGTAAATTTATTTAATTGATTAATACTTTCTTTTTTATTTGTTTTCTATTGAATTTTTTTTTTGTTTTTTTTAGATCTAATTCAAATAAAAATTTGTACAATGGTTGATGGAAAAATAACAACAAAAAAAAAATCAAAAGCAATTCTAATAGAAAAAAATCTTTTTACATTTAGTACATCATTTCATTTTGAGTATCTTGCACTTCATAAAACATCTGTACGTATAACAATATGTTATCGTAAAACATTAATGACTTCTCAAAATAAACCAATATCATTCATGGAATTTGGTTCAACACAATTAAAAAATCAACAAGTTTTTCAACATTGGACAGATACATTATCAGAACCTAATCGACCACATATTCAGTGGCATACACTTCCATCGATTGATACAATTAATGGGAAATAAAATTTACTCTTTTTTTTATATATTTAACTTTTTTTTTTTTTTTGTTTTGAAAAATATACAAGAAAAATAAAGAAAAGAATATATTGCAACGAAATTTTTTTTATATTTTATTTCTCTCGTTTCATTGAAGATTCCGATTGTTGTTCAGTTGTATCATCCATTTTTGTTTGTGTATTGCTTGATGTTGATGAAACAGTTGTAGATGTTGATTGAACTTGTGCTATGTTATTGGATGTTTCATCGATATTTTCGTCTTTGATTTCTATTAAAATAAATTTGTTTTGTTTATATGTTGATAAAGAAATCAAATTTTACTTTTATGAGTTATTGGATCTGATCCACAACAACCAACCTCAATCTCGAATAGCTGAGGTATAACTCGTTGCAAGTTCTAAAAAGATACCCAATAATTCATACTTTTTTATCGTATCTTTTTGATTGTGAACATTTTTTATTTCTTATTTGAACGAATCGAAATATTTACATTGTAGAATTTAATTTATCTTTCTGCTACAAAGGTATTCATATATGACAAATGACATTGCAATCGATTAGACTTACATGAATGAATACACTTGAATCTCTGAAACATCATAAAGTATATCTACACTCTAAGAAAAATTATGTTAAGAAACCTGCAAAGGTTTGTTTGCGCGGATACAAACTCAGAACATTTTATTGGTTTTGTATGAAAAGTATAAAATGCTCTTTACTCTACGAATCTTCCAAAAAGTCTTTCAGTTTTCGCGCAGAACTTTTTTGCTTTTGTTATGAAATCATAAAAAGTTTCGACATTGTATCTACGCAAAAATGCTTTTTAATTTCCGTAACAGAATGTTTTTTCTTTTAGAGGATAAAAGAATTAAAAGAAAAGCATTAATCATATTGAGCGAGTTTTTTCAGAGTCACATCAATGACAATTAATAGTATACTACTAATGGTTTAACAATGGAGATTGTATTTTCCTTTTTATAGGAATTTATTTAATATAATTCATCAAAACAATCTATATTATAACTAAAGATACTACATTACCAGTAATAAGTAACAAGGTAATGCGACGCAAACGTCGTCGACCCACTATTGAAAGGATGTGATGCTGCAGAGAGTGGAGTATTTAAGCAGGGAAATACAATAACTATTGTGTTCGTACACATACAGGCTAAGGGCTATTTAAAAAACAATTTCTATCCAATTTTTGGATGGAGCACATCAAATTGGATTTGGGAAAAAATTTCCGATTTTTCTAAAATTTTTGTATGGGAGAAATCGGTGAAGACTATCATATACAAGGATGATAAAAAAATGATCCTAAATGCTGACCTGTACAAATTCTTCTCTACCCTGCGACACATTATATTCTTGGATCGAGCTCTTTCCTTCTCAATTGACATTGAACTTAGACAAACAATAGAACCTTTCGTAAATAAGGTGAAGTTTCTGTTGTTTTTCTAAATTCAATGTTTCATGAGAAAAGTCAAAAAACATTAACCAAGAAATGTAATGTTTTATAAAGCGAGAAAAAGTTCATATCAGTCAGTATTTGACTTCAATTTTCTCACTCCACTCCAGGACAACCGTAACAATTCTTTCGCATGCAGAAAAATTTTAGGGAAACAAGTGAAACCATCAGCAGCAAAACTGGAGGAACTCAATAGATGAGACTTGATTGTGAAAAACATTGGATAACGTTTTTCTTCAATTATTTAGAAAATTGATGTTTTACTACTGTTCTTTTTGCGTTTTAAGATATAAACAACGACACATTATCCACAATATTATTTCTTTCCACTTGCTTCGTGGTTTCTCTTTCAACTCTAACTCATCTTTGTATAAATAGTCGATTCAAATAAAAATCTCATGGATACATTAGTCACAAAGAAAAGTTACTAGTGACAATCAACTCTAAATTTTACATTAAAGACGCAGTACATAACTTCAAAACAGTTTCACACATACTTTGCCTGTGGCGTATATCAAACTTCGTCTCAAGTTACAGTATCGACAACATACGTTCTTAGATCGAGTTGTTAGAAACTCAAATTTTCCTAATTCACTGTCTTCTTCACCAAAATGAGTTAGAAAGGATACAAGCCGGATTCGATCTAGCATTGGATAATAACGTTTTCTGAAAAAAAACTAGAAAGCGTTGGAACTTATTGAAAATGTCACCCACCGCATGCAAACGCTAGCAAATCTTTCACTCTATTTCCCATGTTTCTGATTCGCCTCAGATTGTTTGCAAAGTGTTCACTTAATTCAATGACTCTACAAAGTTTCAGCGCAAATAACTCCAGAAAGAGAAAGCTTTCGAAACGAAAAAACAAAACAGAACTTTAAAAAATCAGTCACAAGTTTGAATTACTCGACTCAAAAACCATTCGATCAAACTCTATAAAAGATAAATTTATTCCTAAAAGTTCTTTTTTTTACCAAGAAAAGTTGAATACAAAATTTTAAAAAACTAACAACAAACTTGAACTCATTGACCCCAAAAACCTTTGGTCAAAGTTTATAAAAAAATCAATTTTTTTGTAAAAAAAGTTCTTTTTTTATCAAAAAAGAATTTAGGCAAAATTTCAAAAAACTAACAACGGATTCGAGCTCTCCGACCCCGATTACCTTCGGTCGATCTTTATGAGGGATGTCCGTCGAAGAGATTAAAAAACATGTTTTTGATCCGTGCGAACGAACGAACATAACTCGCTTTGCGTAATACCCTCCTTTCAGTAGAGGGAATAATAACACAAAAGGCAATGGAGTACTATACAAACAAGATAGTAGAAATATTTCTAATCATTGATTGTATTTCTTCTGTTACACTAAAGCATTATAACAACGTTCTCGCACATAGATGGATCTCAATATTTATGCATTATTTACAGAATTAATATAGTCAATTGAATTGTGAAAATCACGAATGGTTGATATATTACTTCTCTATAGTATAGAACGTTAATTTAATCGTGTAATTAAGTCTTTTTAAACGTACACCAAAACTTCATTTCCAAAAAAAAAACAAATAAACACATCCTATCTATAGTTGATATTCTAATACATTCGTTAGCTCATTATAAGTTTTAGGTCCAGCGCAGTTCAGCTCTTAAAAAAACACAAAATGATCATACCTTTGTTATGCACTCATACTTTCCTTGTTCTTCCTAGATATGACATAACGTGCTTATTCTTTTACGACAATAATTATTTTTTACTCATTGCTACTTCTCAGCGCATTACAAATTACTCTTGAAAGTAATTTGAAATAAAGTAACAAGAAATTACTTCATTTTTTTCTTATAACAAACAGTAAAAATAAAGTAAATAATGATAAAAAGTAAAAAAGTAATAAGGTTAATAATAATTATTGTCAACTACTGAGTAATAATAAAAAGCATTGATAATTTAAAATTCTTAATTATTAAACTAAAAATATTTAAATTTTAAATTGCAATTATTCTTGTTATTTTCGTACTTGAAACAAAAATCTTTTTATTCTATTTTCTCTAATGTGGATCGATTTTACTCATAAATTGTATGTTTTTTTTGTCTCCTATCTTGATTCTACTGTATAAATATTTTCTTGTAAGTAACACAAACAATATTCACCATCAAAATATAATCATTTCTTCTATGTTGATTTCTCTGTAGAAATTTATGCCGATTTATTTCTTCATTACTACTCTAACGAACGTTTATAACTTTAGATTTTAAAAAATAAACATTAACTTACATCACTAATATCATGCATATGTAGTGGGTTCATGTTTATGTTGTGAAAATTTTATAAATTTTATTGAATAATGAAATAATGTGTCGATAATTTACCATATTCTTCCACAAAGTACAAATGCGTAGATTTTATATAGTGAGGTTAAAAATAGTTATATATTCTTCTTTCTTTTTCTTTTTCTCATTGCAGCCTTCATCGTGTGGAATTTAAAAATCTTCATCCTTTGCGTTCACTATTCTATGTGTGTTCTTGTTCCTGTGCACGGATGACTAAGAGTACTCGTTGACATCCAATATAACGTATGATGCAAAAGTAATGGCATAAAATATTGATCCCTATTTCTCTTCGATAGATAAGTGCTGAAAGAAAACTTTTTTTTATCAAAAGATAGAACTTTTTCTCCTCTTTCGAATCGTATATAATTTATTTTTATAACACGTTTGTAAATCGAATGACACAATAAAAAAGAGAGACACCTTCAAAATATATCCGCATTTTTCGTGAAATTTAGAAAAACAGCGGAAAATGTTGATTCCTATATTTCTTGGATAACTCTTCAATAAACATGTTTTGAAAATAAAGTTTTTGTTTTCAGTTGATAGGAAATTTTCTCCACTTTCGAACGGTGTATGTTTTATATTCATCACACATTCATGAGTGAAATGAGACAAAGAAGAAAGACAAACATTGGCGCAATAAATTTGCAAGTTTTATTTGAATTTTTCAAAAACATCTTGCTAGACAATAATTAATTTGATCTTTCCGTACTCATTAAAAAGCCCTTGTAAAACTGTAGTCACTTGGCCTTTTATGAACTCGTTAATAAAGCTTATAAAACGATAGTTAATGATACTTAACTACCATCCATAAGACGTTTTTGACTGATTCATATAAATATTGCAAATTTTTGTAGCAATATTTTTTTTTCCTTCTTTGTCTCATTTCACTCACGAATGTGTGACGAATATAAATCACACATCGTTCGAAAGAGGAGAAAATTTCCTATCAACTGATAACAAAATTTTACTTTTAGAGCGTGTTTATAGAACAAATATAAGGGTCGACATTTTGTGCATTCTCTTATAGAAAAAGTGCGGATTTGTTTTAAGAATGTCTCTCTTTTTTATTGTGTCGTTCGATTTACAAACGTGTTATAAAAATCAATTATATACGATTCGAAAGAGGAGAAAAAGCTCTATCTTTTGATAAAAAAAAATTTTCTTTTAGCACTTATCTATCGAAGAGAAATAGGGGTCAACATTTTATGCCATTACTTTTGTATCATACGTTATATCATATCACGTGATTATATGTAGTTATCTTTCTCAAAAAAAAAGAAAAAAATTCCAATAAAAGGTTAAAAAGAATAAACAACGAATAATAATATATTCTCTCGTTTATTATTGACATGTCGAGGATGGTTCTTTGATCTTATCATTCTTACTAGATCAGATACAATTTTTTGAAAGTTTAACAAATTAATAAAATGACAAAAGATTCAAGCATTCAATAATCAAGGTGTATATTGATTGTACCTGTGTTTTGGGTTTATTTGAAGTAGAATGAAGTGAATTTGATTTAACAAGTTGGTTAGTAATTGAAAATAATTCCAATAGAGGATATTTTGGTTCAATTTCTTTAAGTTGAATAAAAGAAAGATCTTCGGGTTGTGAAAGAATATAATCAAGCGTGGGTTTTAGGTCAGCTAGAAGAAGTGTTTATGTTTCTTTTGTAAAGTTCAAATGTTCTCGAATATCTTTTCCACTTTGACATTCAATAACAAAAAGGATTCTGGATCTAGATGAATCAAGAAATGCTTCATTATTCAAAACATCCATCGATGTTATCTATGAAATAAAATCCCCACTAGATAACTGATTGTCATTTTTTTGTTTTTTTACTTATGTTTCACATCACTTTTAATTCCATTAAAAATAGTTCGTGGAGTCGATGGACTTGAGAAAGTGCTGTCGCAAATAACCTCAAGTATAAAAACCAAGGTTTTAGAGACTGACAATTTTCATTACAAAGAGCATCGTTCAATACATAATAAAAATTTTCTTCTTTTGGTTTCCATTTTAATGTATAGAGCATAGTAGCAGCTGATTCATCTACAGAAAATTGATCTGGTGGTAGTTTCTTGCATCGTTGTTTTACAAAATAAACCATTCAAGAATGAATCGAACCAGAGATTCTACAGCTTTTTCAAGTGAAACAAGGGACACTTTACTATAGTCCTCTTATAGGGGGTTATTGTAATTAAAGGTTCATCATTAGCACCTATGAATTGCTTAGGTTGTTTCGATTGTTGATTTGTATCTAATGCATACATTTTGAAAAAAATGATGACAGCAATACAGTTAGAATCAAAATCTGATAAAAATTAATTGAATAGTAGAAAAAGTGAATTCAAGTTTTTTTTTATATTAAAACAAAAATAAAAGCATTGAATTGCCATCAACCTAATGCTCAATAATGTTTTTTATTGCTTCGGAGAAAAGAAGAGGTGCAGAACATTTTAATAAGCTTTAATATTTAACTAAAGATTAAAAAAAATGAATGAAGAGTACGTTAAATACCACACATATTTATTTCATAGTTTTTTTCTTCTACATAAAATGTATGTAAAATAACTTCTAGAATAAATTTCTTTGAAGCAATCCATATTGACACAATATGCCAACTTTTATTTTTATAGTAAAAATATAAATAAAACTTTAAAACAATTAGAAATTATTTGATTTAACCCTTTACCCTCCAATGGATCATATATGACCCATTTGTAGAACGATCACAGAAAATAAAGAAAGCATGAGATTGAAAAACTCCCAAGACATTATTTGTAGGGAACTTCACAAGCTATCGATTGGTAAAAAAAATATTTTGTTTCATTGCTCTGCCTTCAAAATATATGACTTACAAAATCAGTAATTTTGAAAAAAATGCAAAAATTCGAAATTTTTTAAATAAAATGTTTTCCACTTGCAATCGATAGAGGTCTTTTGGAATATATGTGTGATATTAATCGATGAAGAAGTCCACTGCTAAATTAGATATGTTTCGAAAGCTTCATGATAATTCCGCGAATTATACATACTAAGGAATACAATTGACCATGTAATCACTGTTAGACAGATGGAGGGTAAACAAGAACAAAGCTAATATATGCGTTATAGACCTCAAGTCATGAGAAATCGAAATAGTATTTATGATGAATTAAATTCCTCCAGACGTTACAAAATGGCTCAGAGTAAAATAGGCTTAGATTTGACAATAGGTGTAAAAACAAAAGCATGCATTCTTTTATGTTAATTTTTATCGGTTCACTCGTTTTTTTTCTATCACTTCAATAGTACGAGATAGATGCTGCTTCTGCCCAGTCCATAATGTGGCCAAAGAAAAAAAAGTCAAGTCTTATGATGTCGTTCAATTCTCATTTTTCACCACATGATTGTTATATCAATCAAACTGTCCTACTTCAGAAACAGGACATTCGGTGGATTAGGCCACACCATTGGCATATTCGACAGGCTAATACTCTATTTATAAAGTTATATTATCAGTAGCTCTTTTGAAACCGCTATGGGAGATAAACAGTTAAATTAGAGTTGTAATAATTATAATAAGACATAAAATTACCAAAAACAAAAATTTACAAGAATCAAATAAACAATCAAAGATGATTTAAACCAGTAGATGTATATCTCAGCTGTTGGATAATGCACTTTCATATTCTAGATTGTTTTGACTGATAAAGATTTGTTTATTATTGGTCAAGATGCACAAATATATATATCCTATATAAATGGATAAAACTTAATTTTTGAAATGTTTTTTGAAAAATAAAACGCACTGAGTATTCCACAATACAACAAATAAATGAAACAGATGAAGTTAAAAATTATAGTAGTTTGAATGATATTGGTGAAAGTAGTAAGTCAATATATTGTTATTGACTTTCTCATATTGAATATTTGAATGTATGTTTTACATAGAATCCTTATGAGAATATTACTTTTAATTTCGATGATCATATTACAAAAATACTAAATATCAATAAGATATAAATATCTAAATGAATGAATGATGAAAGCAAGAAAACAATGGCGAGATACTGAAGTAGTTTTTTTTTACTCATTCTCTGTCTCTGTTAATATATGCTGACGTTCTTTTTTAAAATACTTGTTTCACATCAAGGGAAGATATACAGATTTTAAGCATTGTAATGCTTTTTTTAATTAGTTGTTCTAGGTATACTTGAAAAAGATAGACATTCATGTGAAAAGCAAAAAACTCATTTTTTTATCGTAAAATCGGCTTTTATTGAATTCTATACAAACTATGAATTTATTGATTTTCTTTTTTATCCAAGCAAATATCCTTTTCCTTTGTCAACCAACCTTATACATTAAAAGTTAATCATTAATATTAAATCATTATTTCCATTTCCAGATAAATATGCTTTGCTATGCCCTAGAATCAACCTATAATAGAAAACCCCTGGAAAAGACACATCAAGAAAATATTTTGTACTAAATTTTGATTATGTTATCCATTGGTAATGTTTTGTTTTTTTTTTTATTTTTCTCATATTCTTGAATATTTTACGAATCGTTTTTTTTTCACCTTAAATTTACATAGTTGATTTGAAATATCTAAATATTGTAATCCAACTGTATCTGTTGGATAATGCAAATTTTTAATTTCAATGTGATATCATAGCACAACTGTTTAATAATAGTTTAATTCATTAGTCTTATGATATTAATTACCAAAACAAGAACAAAGATAATAATACACGAGAGTTAACGAAGACTAAAATGTCTGATACATTTAGTTGTTTGACTATCGACTATCAAACCGTTAAAAATGAACTCTTGTATCTTTTTTTGATCGAATTCATCAAATGAAAATGTTTATCTTTCATGAATTCATGCAAATAAAAACATACGTAAATGTGCAATCACTATGAATCCTGTTGCATGTTAACCAATACATCGATTCATGAATAGAAAAAAAAAGATGACGTATTCTTATGACAACTTATCATTAGCAAGTTATAAACATATCAATATGTATGATTTACGAAAATTTGTCATGCTTGAGATAAAATATGATCGATCATTATGTAATCATATTATAAAAACGATTGAAAGACAATAAATAAATGAATTACATCAGATATTCTCTTGCATATTTTTTTTAATGTCGATCATTATTTTCTTATTATTTGTTTAATTATTTAATCGATTATTTTTTAACTAGAATTCATATTAGTTTGTAATCATCAACTACAAAATTTTGATAAAAAAGTAAATGTTTTCTTCTCTAAGAAAAAAAAAAAGAAGTTTTGATCATTTTTGTTATAAATTTTACAATCCGCATGTGTATATATAGATATATAATTGATATCCGATATAAACAAATGAACAAGTTAACATTTATTATAGAAACACAAATCATAACATACTAACCAATCGAATAGACTAGTGATAAATACTAATAAAAACAAGGAAATATTAATGTATAAAGAAGAAGATTTTGGTAAATGAACTTCACTTGAAACAAATACAAATAGAATAGTATTCGTTAGATGTATTGCTAATAGACAAACAGAACAAATAAGTCCATATGTAAAAAAGAGATGTGGTCGTTTTGAAAGTAATAAACTATCAACTAGAAGAAGTAAAATAAGATTATAGAAAATAATAATCAATGCAAATGCCATATTCCAATTTAATAAATATTTTTGTTCTTGTTCAATTGTTATTATCCATGATGGATTATGATAAAATTCAGCATTAAAACAAAGTAAAACAAGACCAATCAATATATTAATACCAAGAATAATCGATGAATAAATTCTTGATAACATATTTTTCTCTTATAAATTTATCATTATTATAAATATCTTAAAAAAAAAAAAACGAAACCAACAAAATCTCTCAATGTTATTTTTTTTTGTTTTATTTTTCAAAAGAAAAAGAAAAACACTAAAAAAACAAAAAAAAACATTTTAAAGTTGCAGAATAAATTGTCCATTTGGTTCATGAAATTGTCTACCAACATATATAACCCATGCAATAATACCAACAATTAATGTTAATGAAAGTAAACCTAAATCTGCAATTAATAATCTTGATGAAAGTAAATTAATTATATTTAATTTACTAATTTCATATGCAACAAATATAATTAATACTATATTAACTAGATTAATTATAAAAGTAATATATCCATGAATTGTTGCATAAATATGATATTCTCGACCCAAATAACAAGAAAAAACAAGTGGAAGAAGAATAATACCAAGTAAAATAATGATAATACCAAGTAAAATTGAACAACCAAATACAAATTGATAATCAGATGATATAAAAATAAATGTTGTATTAATTATTAATAAACTAAAACCAGTTAATGAATAATAGAATGCAAGACATCCAGCTAAATTTCCCCAACAAACACCTGATTTCCAATTAGATTTGTATACAATTGTTGAATCAACTTCCATTATATGATTTTAAATGTCTTTTAACGAATAATGGACAAAGAATAAACATACAAACACAAATATATCTATATATATATATATAACGAAGAAAGAAAACAACTGTATGACTATATTTCGATTTCATTTTATCAGCTGATTATAGTATAATGTAAAATCTTTATATATCGTCATATATTTTTCATATTTTCAATAGATTATTGATCGATATTTCATAGAAATAGTATTTACTTTTAAACGAAAAAAAGTGTGTTGTTTTAAATATTTAATTTTTCATTTTAAGTAAAACAAAAAATCATTTTTGATAAAGTTAATTATTTTGTATTAATAAGAAAATAACTATTAAGAAAGAATTATTATTATATTTTTTGTTGAATGTAGTCCAATATTTAAAATTATTTATTATAATCGAACTCATTGTAGATAGGTCATACTGCTCTTTTCCTCTTATTGAATTATTATGACTAGTTCTTTTTTGTTTTTTTCCATGTCACCGAGTCAAAATACAAAAGAAGACCTTCATATTTTTCGAACAAAATATTCATTCAGAAAAAAAGAAACTCATAACTCATTTGTAGACAAGACTTCATTTAACAAAACTGTTACAGGTATTAAATTTCTATTTTAGATTTGATCGGTTTAGATTTAATCATCATACGATATAGTTTAAGAACAGTTTTCACAGATTAACTATGTTTTTTTTTCCATTTTTATCCCATACAAAACATGTTCCTTATCCTTTATAAGTATAAATCTTCTTTTTTTTTTATTTTTGTATAAATGATAATAATAACTATCGAAGTTTAGTAAATCATTTAACGAAAATTTTGTCTGGATTATAGTTTATCTAAGAAACAGAAGTAAAAGGAAAATAATTCTAGTCAATGGAAATATGTTGATTGTTTGATGACAACAAAATATTCAATTACTTTGTGGAAGTTGTATGATAATTTTTCCTGGTTTCATATGATAAGGCATCATATTTTATTAATATATGTTTTCAAGAGTTTAGATATTGATTCCATAAAGTCACTTCAATCTTTTTATATTTAAAAAGTTTAATATTAAGAACAAGTATTGTTTTATTGAAAATCAATATTTTATTCTATGATAATAGATTTTTTTTTTCTAGTATGCATTATAACATCAATATTAACATAAGTATTGTAGATTATTTTTCAAAAGACCCCTCGATGAGATAATCTATCTTAATTCTAGAAAATAACAAAAAAAAAAAAAAAGAAAATACTTTCATCGGAATGAAAATGATCAGCGTGACAAGAGATCATATATACAATTGATTCTTAATACGACTTAATTTTTTTCTAGGTAAATAATTTTTCTAAAAAATTTTTACGAACATTTATCAAATAATTTATATTAACAGAAAAAAAAAAACATGAAAAATATTTGTCTTTTTTTTTCTTTTTGAATATTTAAAATCAATTAAATTTCTCTTAAACAACAAATAGAGAGATAATCGTTTTCTGTTTTTTTAGGTTTTTAATCATATATTGACTTTATAATGACATATTACTATTGAAAAAGAATTCATATATCATATTTATGATATTTTTATTTATAAAAAGTAATATGACATAGAAAAGAAATAAAATGAAACAGAGTTTTTATTTAAATTGACAATTGACGATGTCAAAAATGTCAAATAATATATGAAAATGTTATTTTCATTATATTGTATTTTGATCTAATAAAGCAATTAACTGACTTTTCTTATTTATTCAAATCGTTTCCTTTTTTGTTTTCTTTTTCATATTATTTTTATATGATTGATCATTTATGTTTGAAAAAAAAAAAAAGATTTTTGTTCTAATTTAAAATTCTAATTATATTTGCTTTTCATTGATAAATATATATGGCTACACTCAGTAGAAACTATATATATAAGTAAGCTAATGTTATTTTTGTTTTGCTTGTTAAATGAACAAATGAGTTAGAAATTCAATTATGTTCTTCAAAGATGTTGATGAATCTTCACTAGTTTTTTTACCAACATGCAAAGATAGATGCATTTAATATACATTAATATAAGTACTTATATATCAGTACATGTTATTTAATGAAATATCTTGAGTATATTTATATAATAAAGAGGCGAACAAAGAAAACGTGATATATTATTAAAAATTTCTATGGTGTTGTCATCAGCTAAGTCTCAATAGTTCCCAGTCATCTGTCACCTGTCATCTATCTTTAACATTATTTACTGGGACTTGTTATATAAATTTGTCATACAATTATAGACGTCATTGGTTCTATCCGGTTTATTTGATTTATCTGTTGTATGTATTCTTCGTTAGTACTTATCAGTGATGAAAAGAAGAAGACATTGAAGTTTTTTTTTTTTCTTCTTCTCCTTCTCCTTTCGCATTCCTTTACTTGTCATCTTTCTAATTGATTTCGATGTGTCACAAAGGCACATTCCGTTTTTTTTTTGACGTCAATATTACTTGTTTTATCATATCATTAGAAAGAAAAAAGACTTCTGTTAGTGTTATTGTTACTATACTTTCATTTATCTTCATTTTTTTTTCATTGTTGGTTTGTGCATGTGTGCATTAAAGCATTATTTTCTTCAATTTTTTTTCCGTAAAGTACCGGCCCGAGAGAAAGGAAAAGTCCCGAGAAAAAAAAAAGAAGCAAGATGCAATTATAGATACTAGTATTCCCTAGCTTATAGTCACAAAGTGTTTCTCGGGTATGGATGAGTGGGTGTAGAAAATAAAAAGGAAACAAAGTTCTTATAGAATAATATATGGAAATATATGAGAAAATCGATACAATATTTCCAATTGCTTTTTTTTTTCGTTTGTATAAAGAAAGACAAAAAAAATTGAATTTAAGATATACATATATATATATATTTATTAGTCTATCCAGCATTATGTAAATAAAACGAGACGAAAATGATCTTGTTGTTCGGTAATTTTACCAATATTATATATTCAACAATCATGATATAATTTTGTTTTGATCTCGTCTATCATTATTTTCTTAGCAAAACATAATAATTGTATTTGACGAAATGGTCGATTTTTTTTCCACCCACGTCCTAGGATCATCTTCAGAGAATTTAAATAATAATATATTTGCTTAAAGAACATCGAAAGACATAAATTGACAAGCTAAAACATGCAAATTCTAGGAAACACATTTGTCTTTTGCTGTTTTTCTTTATCTGTTATTATCCTATGTAAAAGATTAAAAAGAAAAAAAAAGGAACAGGTAGTCCAGCTGTTCTATTCATTCGTAAAAACACTACGATTTCTACTTTTCTTCCTTTCTCTTTCTAGTTCTTCGTTTTTCCTCCCCCTACTTCTTCTATTGGAGTCGTTGTCTGGCTTTTTTGCATTTCTCTGTGTTCTTTCTGCGTTCATTCATCATAAAAAAAATGAATGCATATATAATCATTCTTCTTTATTGATGTTGCGCTTGTGTTTCTTATTGAGTATATTAGAATAGAAGTCATATCTACCTTTGATTGTTTTTGAGAATCTAACTTCCTTTCTAACTGTGTGTCAAGCATGAGTTTGTGAGATATTTCTTTCAATTCAATAGATGAAAATCAATATAGACATTCATTTTTTTTATTGTAGGAGTTTGAAGAAGAACGTGACATATGAATAGTAAGAGATCTAGAAATATAATATGAGGGGGAGGACGAATTAAGCGAAAAGAAAAACTAAGCTCATACATTTATTGTCATAAAATCTCAATAAAAACATCATTCAAAGAAAGCTTTGTAAGTATATATTTATATACATATATTTTTTTAATATCTTCTTTGTATATCTTTATTCTTATGATGAATTTCTATATTTTGTATTTGAATGAAGAAAAAAAAAAAAAAAATCAAATCAAACACAATCATATTATATTTTAATTGTTATTCAAAACTATATTTAGGATAGATTTATTTGCATTCTATTATGTTTCTAATTATTCCAATAAGGCTAAAGACTTTTATTTTTTCCTGTATTTTTTCATAGTATAAGATAAGTAAATCAGAATATTCATGACTTATCTGAAAAATTTTGCCTTTTGTTTTTTATTTACTGAGTAAATTTTATGACATTTTCTATTTTCTTTCTGGTACCTGACATTTAGATTTATTTGACTTTTTTTTTTTGTCTGACTTTGTTTTTAAAGAGATTCCATCAACAAGAAACTATAAGGAATGATAATAAATAAAAGAAGAAGAAACAAGAGACAATGTATAATGAAGGAAGTAGAACAGATGCATGTAAAAATTTTAATGCATGACTTAGTATTTTTGTAACAAAATTAGAGCGACCTTCGATACACTATAAAATAGTTAAAAGCACTTAATTCTATTCATATTT